AATTTGGAGGGGAAAATGGGGATTTGGGGGGGAAAAATGGGAATTTGGAGGGGAAAATGGGGATTTGGGGAAAGGGAAGTGAAAATTTATGGGGAAAAATGGGAATTTTTTGAAGAAAAATGTGAATTTTTATAGGGAAAAATGGGAAATTTTTGGGGAAAATTGGGAATTTTGGGGGAAAATGGGATTTTGGGGGAGAAAATTGGGAATTTTGGGAGGTAAAATGGGAATTTTGGGGGAGAATTGGGAATTTTTTGGGGAAAAATGGGAATGAGGGGGGAAAATGGGGAATTTGGGATCTCAAAGGATCAGGAAATAAATCTTGGGATTAAAAAATCTTGGGAATTTGGGAAATTTGGGAATTTTGGGGATTTTTTTACCTTTTCCAGCAGCGCTTTCACTTCCCACTCCTGGCGCTGCCGGCGGCTGCGGAACGGATTCGACTCCAAAGCGTCCAAATTCGGCTCCCCCGCCCCTAAAATTCGGGAATTTTGGGAATTCCAGGCAATTTTGGGAATTTGGAGGTCGGGGAAGTGAAAAACCCCCCGGGAATTGAGGAAATTCCAGCGGGAATCGCGTCGGATTCGAGGGAATCGTCAAAAAATTGGGATAAAATTGATTAAAAATGAAGTTTTTTTAAGGAGTTTTTGGGGTTTTTAGGGATTTTTGGAGTTTTTGGGAATTTTTAGGTGGGATCAGGGTGTTGGTGGATTCTGGATTCTTTGAAATCTGCTGAAAATGCCCCAAAAATGCTTTAAAATTACCCAAAAAATCCCAAAAAATTCCAAAAAAATTCCCCAAAATTAAAAAAAACTCAAAAAAATTCCCAGAATTCCCAAAATTCCCAGAATTCCCACCTGGAATCAGGATGCTGCTGAATTCCAGGTTCCCAAAACACCCAAAAATCTCCTAAAAATGCCCCAAAATTGCTTTAAAATTCAAAAAAAATCCCAATAAATTCCCAAAAATTAAAATAAAACCTCAAAAAAATTCCCAGAATTCCCAAAATTCCTGGAATTCCCAGAATTCCCACCTGGCACGAGGATGTTGGTGAATCCCCAAAAACATTCCAAAAAATTCCCAAAATTCCCAAATTCCCAATCCCGGATTCCCACCTGGCACCAGGATGCTGCTAATCCCTGCCCGTGGCCACCTCCCAAAAACCAAAAAAACACAGGTTCCCAAAATTCCCAAAAATCACCTGAAAATGCCCCAAAATTGCTTTAAAATTCCCCCAAAAAATCCTAAAAAATTCCTAAAAATTCCAAAAAAATTCCCAAAAAAAT